AAGGAAGATATCAGTTCTCATACTCTGAGTAGGAGAAATCTCATAGTGGTAACACCCACACAAACTAGTGGGACCCTGTAGGAAGTGAAAGTGACCTCAACTCATTCATAAGACTAATCCGGCGACTGAGCATAGTGTTTGAATGGTAGGATAGGTCACAAAAAGGAGTATGAGAACTGATCTTATGCTAGAAGCTCAAAGTTTTCAAAATAGTGATGTTAATATCCGAGGTAATGTATACTACATCATTACAAAAAAAGCAGCTCTAGGTAGTAAGGGGACACACTCACCACCTGAGGATAACAATCATAAATAGGATTGATAAAATATCAGAAGGGTCACAGTGGTAACACATATCCTAATCAGGTAGAACCCTGTGGGGAGTAAAAGCAACACTACCACCTTCATAGGATTACTCTAGCAGCTAAGAGTATGGTATGAATGATGAGGTAGGTACAGAAAGAAACTAAGGAGCCAGTCCTCTACTAGAAAATCAAGACTCCCGAGGATGTGATGCTAACATCTGAGGCAGGATGTACTACATCACAATAAGAGAAACAACTCTAGGTAGGGGGAAACACTCACTACCTGAGGACAGTAATCATGAATAAGGTTGATAAAACATTAAAGGGTCACAGTGGTAACACCTACCCTAATTAGGTAGGACCCTGTGGGGAGTAAAAGAAATACTATCACCTTCGTAGGGCTACTATAGCAGCTAAGAGTAGGGTACAAATGGTGGAGTAGGTCGGTGAAAGAAACTAAGGAGTCGATCTTCTACGAAAAAATCAGGACTCCTAAGGATGTGATGTTAACATTTGAGGCAGGACGTACTACAACACAGTAAGAGAGACAACTTTAGGTGATAATGGAGTATACCTGACACCTAGTATAGTAATCATGAGTGAAATCCACAACCATCAGAAGGTCACAGTGGTAACATCTACCTTAATCAGGTAGGACCCTGTGCCAAGTAAAAGTGACACCATCACATTCAGAGGACCACTCTGGCAGCTCAGAGAAGTGCATGAAAGGGAGAATAAACTGCCAAAAGAGGGCAGAAGGGGATTGGTCCTTACTCAGAAAGACCCAAGCCCACAAGATAGTGATGTTAACATTCAAAACACAATGTACTACATCACTTAGCAAAGATAATTAAAATTGTGAAAAATTATACTCAGATATGTGTGCTTTCATCCTTGAGGCAGACACCAAGGCACCTCAAAGGAGAGGGAAGAAAAAGAACTTTAGGGAACTCATGCTCTTAGAGAGTATTATCGGGTTCCTCCTGTGATAAGGGAAACCGGTTTTGCTCTACTAAGATCTTCCCTCTTTTTATCACATGTATATTTTTTTCATTTTTTTAAACGGAATTGTGATTTGATTTTGATATCCCAGACCATGTTCGCCACATGAACAAAACTGGGGAGAGAAAAAATTATATAGGATCTTATAAGAAAGTAAATCATTAGTTTTGATAACTTAGACCACATCTAACTCATGTGAATGAACTGGGGAGCACAATCATAGTGAAATTGATGTATAACTAAAATTAATATCAAGATAGATGATCAACACTACCACACCTGACTATTACAGGATGGTGTGGACCCAGTATCCTACTTCCAAAAGACTATAAACTGATTGACTCTGACATCCCTGGTCACATTCAACCCATATGAATGGACCAGGGGCTACATCTATCAGCTCAAGAATGATAGGAAGAAGAGAATCTCATAGGAATAAGGGATCATTATCACTCCACCTGACTGGCATAGGTGGGCATGGACCTATTATCACACCTCTAAAGGGTCTAAACCAATAATTTTAACATCTCCTATCACATTCATCTCATATGAATGGACTGAGGGCTACAACTATTAGAACAGGACTGATAGGAAACAGAGAATCTCATCATAGTAGAGGATTAACATCATCGAACTTAACAAACACAGGAGGGTGTGGACCCAGTTAAAAGTGATAAACGGGCAAATATCCCAAAGGAGCTTAGTACTTAACTCTATCTAATCTTAAAAAGAACCTCAATTTAAATTTACTAACTCAGATCAAACTCCATACTAGCTAAATCATGACGTCTCACTTATGTGAGTATTTTTCTCTTTTGAATTGAAATCTAATCCAAAAAATAATTTTAAATTAGAAAAAAAATTTAATTTTCTTTATTTCTTATATGAGAGGATGATTCCATATCTTATAGGATATCAATGTATAATGATGATTTCAAAATCATAATTTTCGGACTCAAATATCAAAAATATCAAAAGGATATAGATTTTCTGAGATTTAGAGATTTACTAGAAAGGGAAGCCATTTACTTAACACTTTTGGACTCTTTGAGTAACTTTCTCAACAATTCTCATTTATTTGATACACTTTGTGTACCTTTCACTTTTGATGCTTTACGCATCTTTTTATTTTTTGTAACTGGCTTTTTTTTCTAAACTTTTAAAAGCAAACTATTTCTCAGTTGTAAGATCATCTTCTAAGTGCAAGAGAAGAAGACTTACTTCTCTTGGATAAGAAAGAATGATCTACAAAATAAATCCTATCCTCTGATAAGAATGAATAGCTTGATTAAGAAAATTATGAATTTTTATTCATCAATATACTATAGTTATATATGAGATAGATAATCACAATATAATAGAGAAAATTTTCACTTCTAAATTCAATTTTAATTTGAAAAAGATTTTAATTCAAAAGAAGAAACCTCTCCACCCATAGGATGAGATAGAGGGATCATACTCTTTCATGAGTCATCACTACAAAACTAGTAGAGCTAAAGGAATCAAGAGTGTCAAAATAACTGAAAAATTATTCTCTTTTTTTTTATTGATTAATCATCAACATAAGGGAGAACGATGTCCTTTAGCCTAAGTGCTGGAAGGGGAGACTGTCTTCGCTTCTAAGGTTACAATCATCATTTTTTTAACATATCTCTCTAGTACAAATAGAAGCAAAAAAAAGAAAATGTGTTCATCTAGCACTACAACAGAAGAAAGAAAAGAAAAATAAGTGCTAACAAAGAAGCTGTAGTGGCAACTATCAACTTGGCCTTGGGAGGCCTCATCTCAACTGCCTCTGAACTCTGTATAGCTTACTTAATCATCTGCTAGGTCTTCTTGGAGAGTGCTATCTGCCACTCTCCCTCAGAACTGTGGAGTGATCTGCCACTACTGCCCTGACTATAAGTCTGACTATCACCGTGGCTGGAGTCTGAAATCCTCTGCACTATCTGAGTAGCCCTGCCCAAAGGCTGTACTAAGTTACTGTCCTGGAGCTGGATCTTCCCACTGCCAATAAGGCTCTTCACTCTGTCCTTGAACACAAAATAATCTTCAAGTGTATGTACAATACATCGATGAAAGGGGCAATAGAGTGGATGTTCTGTTTGTCCTTCTTAATTTTTTCTCTTATTAAATGGGAATGTCAAAACATCTTTCTCAGCCATGCATTTGAATATCTTCCTTATGCTTTCTCTTTTAAAGGGATATTCTTTTTTAAGTCTCTCCTGTAAAGATGGCTGACTCTGGATGGGAGTACTATAAGTGGGCACTAGGTGGTGTTGGGACTACTCTCTGGACCCTGTCCACTCCTACGGGGCCTAGTACAACAGGTGGTACTGCTGGCTGGTCTTTGAAAGTACTGGTAGTGGCTACACCTGCCATCTAGGGTATCGCCCCCAAAACTGTCAACTGTGCTGTTATTGCCGTCGTGGCTCTGGCCATTTCTGCCATCTGTGTTTAGAGGTGCAGGACTGTAGCATAGGCATCCACTGACCTGAGAAATCCACCCACCTCGAGCTCTCCCTGCTAATCCTGGTCCTCGGGCTCTCTCTGCTCCGAGTGACCTCTGCGGGTGACCACACAAACCCGGTGTACCGGCACATCCTCATCGGTATCCACTAGTGTATCATCATCATCTAAAAAGGCTAGTCGCATTGCCTCTATATACGGACTCATATGAGAGGTGATCCTATGAGTGCTAGGTGCTAACTCTGTCTCAATCCGTACTGGCGATCTGTCTGGGGTAGGCACTGAACCATCATCGCAAACTATTGGGACTACCTAGAACCCGGAAGGAGCCATAACCTCCATCTGATCAGCTGTCTCATTTGGCTGCTCTGCCTCTGACAACTGCTTTGTCTCAACTGCTGGAATTGGGTCGACAGGGGTGTCCACCTGTCGACGTCTTCAAACCCATCTGGTACGATAGGGTGCTGCACTAGCAACTGGCTGCTCTGAGACTATCACCTCTGAACTGACCTGAGGCCGGGCAGGTTCCTGCTGCTATCTCCATCCTCGATGACGTGGGCGTCATCCTACCACAGGAGCAACTGCTGGCGGTCTAACTACTGGAACTGCGGGCTGTTGGGGTGTCTGCCACCTCTGCCAACTGTAAAGCCTCCTCGCAGTCTGTCTCCGTAACTAAAAAGTCACCTGAGAAATCTGCCGGAGTATCTTCTCCCTACTGACAGGCCCCCTATCACGAGCTAGGCGGACGATGTATCGAATCCTTAGAGTGAGGTCTCGAACACTAGCATCCCTGGGGACCCTAGCCCGGGATAAGGTAGTGGCAACAGGAGGAGCCGCCGCAATGCGGACAACGTCCTCCAAGTCGCCACTATGTGTCAGCGGGGAGAAGAGTCCTCCCTGGATTGCCTCTATCTCAGGAGCTACAACAACCCCTGGAGTAGGCACAGCTGGAAATGGTCGTGGTCTCCGCTGTTTGTGAGCCACCATCTTCTGAATAAGCTCCTAGTGAGCTATCGCCTCAATCATCTGCTGCCTCTCTACCTCAGACGCAGCTAAACACAACCTCCTATTCCTATTCCTCCGGGCCTTTCTCCCAAGGCCGGAGGTGGAGGTGGAAGGGACATCTGAACCCACTGCCTAGATGGCAGAGGGAACAGGGACTACTGGAAGTACCAGGGTCTGCCCGGCAGTCTCGGGGTGAGAAAGCCGAGCAAAAACAAAAAATCATCCAGAAGAGGGTGAAGGCACCTCGGTGTGGGCACCCCTCTTCCTGGTGGAAGCGGGAGGGGAAACCCAAACGCGAGGTACTTCCGTTGGAACAGCGGGAGTAACAACAGTAGCAGGCTGTCGGTGCTGAGGGGCCGGAGCAGCATGAGCAACAAGAGCGGCAAGCGCAGGTCGCCTGACCGCTATACGAATAGGTGGAATAACTGTAGCAGGCTGCCGGCGCTGAGGGGCCGGGGCAACCTGTGCAGCAGGAGCGGTAGTCACTAGACGCCTAGCCGCGGGACAAACTGGAACAGAATGTGGCCTAGGCACTGGTCGCCTAGCCACAGCGCGCACTGGCTGCACAAGTACAGGAACGGGACGAGCAGATGCCCGAGCTGTCCGCCGAGCAGCTGGTAGTCCGAAAGGACGCATGGCTGTGCGTCCTCTCCTCTGAGGAGGAGAGAATGCAGTAGCCTCCGCCGGGGTCGGCCCGCCAAGAGTGACGAAGGCCGAGTCAGTGAAGGAACCAAAAGTGATCCCCCCAACCGGCGGACTAGCGAGCAGGGACTCAGGGAGAGTCACCCGCGTGTCCGAACCAAAAGCAAAGGTAACAGACGGAACAAAGGAAGCCATGACACTACTGCCAAGAAAAGAAATTTGAAAAAAAATTAGTTATAATCAAAATCAAGAAAGAGTGAAGAATTTGATAGCAATTTGATAAAGGTAGATAGGAATTGATAGGGAAAGGAATAGCCTGCTAGGCTGAAAAGAAGTAGAGTAGGGGAACCCTAGCTATGGGGAATGAACCATAACTAAAGAAAGACCCTAACTAAGAGTGAGACGAACCTAATCTAAGGAGTACAAATCCCAGAGTACACACAAGAAAGGATAATATATAATCCAAAGATGGAGAGAGAAACTGGTCCCACCGTGGTCGCTAGAAATCTGTGGACCTTCGAAAGAGCACCGCGCGAACGGGTCGATTAGAAGAGACAGATTGGATCGTGCATACGACTAACCATTGGGGATAGAGGCTTTCACCAACACACCTCGATGGGTAGTAATATACACGACCTAATTACGGTTTTCCCCATTCACGGGTTTTCCCCATCCGATACAAGAGTTCGAATGGGGTTTAGTAGATGTGGGACCGAGTTTCCCACGGGCACAAGCTCCCGTGGTTAATTACATCCCAGGCTGGAGCTTGAGAAAACTCTCGATTAATGATCATACATTATCCTCTCCTAAAGTGGGATTGGCACATGGGTATAGACTAGGAAATCCTATCCAAAAGGAAGAAAGTTCTGAAGGGCTAAATTAACATGCGTGGTTCATACCAGCATTCGGAGGCTCTAGGATACTAAGGAGAAAACTGGAGAAAAGAGATCAAGCAATCAACCACATGCGTGAGAGAAGAGATGGAGGTGGCGTCATCCTGTGACGCAGATAAGTAGGATTTATAGTCCCCGAAAGGAAGAGACATACCTACCATTTAAGGCATGCTACGAGACCGAATGTAGTAGCCTCGAATCTTAAATCTAGGTTGGGCTTAGTGCTCTACGAAATACTAAGACCCGTGTCGTAGCTAATGCAGTGCAAAACCTGGACTTATCCCGGCCTGGATTGGGGGAGCCAGCTAACCACCTAGTCGCTTCAAAACCATGCTATCAAGTCAATTATGAAAGATGGATGGGAAGTACAGTTCTTTGGAAATAGGACTGACATCTAGAGGATTTCCTAAGTGGTCCTAGACTTATGTGGGTCAGATGCTCCTAGCTAATGCAATTAAATTTTATTTAGTTTGTTACTAATGCAATGCATGCTAGTTAAAATGTCAGCTCATGAATGCTATAGAATTTTAAAAATAGCCTTATAGAAAATAATTTTTTAAAAAAGAGACTGGGTCTCCCTAGGTCCGGCACTTCATCCTCATAGGCCAGATTATCCGGACTCTACCCGCAGGTAGGGAGATGTCTTATAGCAAGGAAAGAAGAATGCAGTAATATGCATGCGACCCCGGACGGTTCTGACAATTCCCTAAATTCATTAGGTTTCTATGTTATTTAAAACTTAAATATTAAATTTTGGTTATGAGTAGAAAATATTTTGCAGTCCTTAAAGAGCCTAACGAAATCCAGACGAAAAACAAAAGCGACATGCAAGAAAGAAACCTAGAAAAACAATGAATTTCTACTGCACACATCAAGAAAGCACATCAATATAAATCCAGAATAATCAACTAAATGGCCATAGGCAAATTGCCCTTTATTTACAACCCAGATATGCCAGAAAGTAAAGTAGCGGGCACCCACTGCCAATAACCCGGATTTCTTAAGCCTATTACATGACGGAATTGACTTTAGTGGATATTGATATCAGGTCTTCAGTCTTCTTTGGATCACTCTTTCTTGGACTCCTGGATCTCCCCTCCTTAGAAATCTTCCTCCCTTGGACTCCTTGGATCCATCGTAGCTTGAATATCCAAAACAAAGAGACATTCTTTCTTGGTAATGGGGCATTGCCTTTTTCTATTGGATTATCTAAAGCCATCCCACTCGATTCTCCCAAATGGAAGAAGACTCTCCTCTAGTGAGGATGTCCCTCTTCTTTGGGATTCAAGTGAGAAAGAATATTCACACTCAAAGTGAGATTTTCACCAACTCTTAAAGATTATTATAATTTTACATGAAATTAAAAGCAGAAAAAAGTTCTAAAAATCATGCATGGTATATCCTAATAAAAATTCCCAAGATTAATTATGGAAATGAAAATAAACTCAATTACCATGAGCACTTGCCAAGCATGCTCTTATCATGAGGGCTAATGCAAGCTCCACCTGTAGCAGTTATAATAATTAATATTTTAGCCCTCATTATCAGGGGGGCTGAGCAAAAGCACCTGGCTCATAAGACAGTATTAGAATTCATAACGGTGCCCCTCCCCCCTTTTATTAGCTTGAGCATGGCCAGCCTGCACGGAAGAACGAAATTATATATATATATAATATTATATATATATATATATATATATGATATTTCTAACCTAGGAGTAAATCTAGCGCTCATCACATCATCCACAAAGTATAGAAAAAGTAAGCAAACACACCAATCATTTTCAAATAGCATGCAATGAAATCCACGGAAAGCTCCGGCACACAGCAGAAAAAATAAAACCCAGCGGCCTAACCTAGATCTAGAATTGGTGCCCTAGCAAACAATTCTATGTGTGTGTAAGGCTGGTGTGGTTTGAATAGGTCCTAAGCACAGGGTGGTTAGTTAAAGTTATCTAGAATTCATGTTTGTTGGGGGTCTAAAAAGGATATTTTAGTTAAAATTCAAATATTAGTGAATTAGGATCCATTTTAATTATTTCAGTTTGTTGATCAGTTTTAAGAGCTTAGGATACTGATATTTAAAGTTCAAGTGGTATTAGCCAATTTTAGAAAGTCTCGGGTCCTCCTATGATCTAGACTAAGGGTCCAAAAAGTCACTATAGGAAATGGGCAAGATTTGGGTCTCCTAATAACTTAGGAAAATACTAGACCTTAAGAGAAGTAGTTAGCCATGTAGTAGGCTGAAATTAGAGTTTTCTAGGCAAAGTTATGAATTTTGTAAGTTTCGGACTCTAAATGAACTACAGTTGACCAAAACGTTGACTTTCTAATCTAAGTCATTTTCTAGAAACCTAAGATTTTTAATAAATACTAGATCCTAATTGGAGTCTAATGCAAGTGAGTTTACCTAATTTGAAATTTTCTACAATTAGTTATGAGTTTTCTAAGTTTGGGGTATTTAAAGGAATTTTCTAAATTTCCTAATAAAGGATTGTTTTTATTATTTTGATCCAAATCAGCTCCAGACTGATTAGAATAACTTCCAAAGGTCAGGAATGACCTAAGAAAGTGTTCCCAAGTGTTTGGAGAAAATTTGAGATTTTTAATAATTTTTAATGATTTATTAGGGGCAAAACGGTAATTTCCACCTATGGTCAAATTAGGGGTCAACCTGAAGTAAAACTAAGGAGTCCTATTTATTTAAAGTCAAGGGTTAGATTCTAAGAAATTCAAGGTATTGTGGGTATTTTTCTGACCTAAAATACATTTATTATAATTTTTAGAAGGTCTCGGGGCCTTATTTAGTAGAATAATTATGGTTGATTAATTAAGGGGTCTAACAAGCTCTAAAAATTCATAGAAAATTTTAGGATGTTTCAGATGTCACTAAGTTTAAGTGTTGAAGTTTTCATGTTGTTCCGGGGTCTATCCTAGCCCATAGAAAATTTTTAAGTTCGCTAGACAAGTCCTTAATTTTTGTCCTTAAGGTGTCACTACGTTATATGGGTTTAAATTATATTTTGAACTAACCCTCAAGGTAATAATGCATGGGAAACATATAAAAGCAGTAAACACGTCATGTCCTTAGATCTAGGAGAGCCTAAACTAAGTGCTCGTGGTGCGACCTACACATGCAAGCTACGACGAACAAAAAAAAGTAACTACGACTAATGAAGGGATTAGTGAATGATTGGGACCCAACCATTCACTAACCCACTACCCCATGATTACTCTTCATGCATAGAATTCATGTCTAAAATTTTATGAAATAGCGGATCTCCCAAGATTAGGGATTTAGTTATAAGTAATTTTAAAATAAATCAAAATACTTATAAATATAAAGATTTTTTTTTAAAAAAATAAGGTAATTAAAAATAATTCAATTCATAATACATAAGTATAGGGAGACCCACTGATCACTCAATCGAGGTTTCAAAATAACTTAAAAATAATTTTTAATTTAAAATAATTATTATAATGATTATTTAAATAGTACTAAAAATACTCAAATAATAGCATAAAACAGAAATCTGCCCAAACAGCCAGAATCAGCTCTTGCAAATAATTTTAAATTAAAACTCATAATTTTTCAAAGAGAACGAGGGGTTGCACGCCGAAATACGATTTAAAACGGGAAAGTTATGATTTTTACAAGTTTAAATACAATAATAGAATATTTTTAAAATAGTGTCATTTTACTGTTTTCAAAATAACTATAGATATACCTAAAATTTTCAAACAAAAATGGTCTAAAATCGTACAGAATTCAAATACGAACAAAATAAGGTGCTGTGCATCAAAAACGGATTTAAAATGAGAAAGTTTTGAATTTTTAAAGTTTAAAGTAATAAAGGGATTTAAAAATAATTTAAAATAGCAAGAATTTAAAAATAATTATTAAAATAGGTTAAAATAATATTTTATGAAAGTAATTATGGGATGTTTGAATTTTGAAATTCAAAATTTTAGGAGGGAATTAACGATTTCAAATTCAAAATTCATGGAGGGAATTAAGGAGGCTTTAATGCTTCCTTAATTTTGGATGTTGGATTTAGAATGAATTAAGTCATTCTAATTAATTCAAAATCCAATGGAAGGGAAAAAATTAAAAAAAAGACTTTCATAAAATAGATTTAATAATTTATGAAAGAATTTGAATTTCAAATTTGAAGAAATTTGAATTCAAAGACAAACTAAATTATGACAATCCAAAATTAGGAATTACTTAAAATAATAATAATATTAAACATAATAAATATAATTTTTAAATAAATAATGATAATAATAATACAAAAAAAAG